TGATCCTGATGCAATTCAACAGCCGGCCAGCTATTATGAACAAGGCTACCAGCACTAGGTAGGTCTCCCTGTGGGATACCGGGGAACACGGATGCGGAGGATATATCGGCGCGCTGTTGGCTACCGGTCTACCTACACCTATGAGTCGCTCCATTAGTGTGGTATTCCGCATATAAGTCACATTATGCCCTGCACGCTATCGTCACATAGCTGCAGTCATCAGATGACCTAGCTCAGATCGACCATAGGAAGTCTGATCCATGGAGATTGCGGCAGTTAGAAAACAGACATTGGGAGTCATCCATCATAGCCAATTTAGTCTAACCACGTCAGCTACCGAAGCATGTAAGAGCAAGCTTCCCAGTTAAGCTATCTACGATATTTATACATATTCTCGAGCGGGTAGCAGAGCTAACCCTATTAGTGGTACAGTCGATACCACATATACCGAGTACCATTACTCGATCTCATTGGTACAAGTATTTCACACTTGTTGTGCATAAGGTGGCGCTAACGCTGTCCTGTTGTGTTATCACCCGTGTGTGAAACCCAGGTGCTTCTCCGCGTGAATGAGGTTTCTTGTCTGAGCCACCAGTTCGCTGCTCGGATAAGGAATCATCTGGATCAAGGATATAGTCCAATCGAATAGAGTGCGCAAGGTCTCACGGTCGATGAACTCGGAGAGGATGGGGTCGTAGGAGCAGGCGGCTAGAATCAGAAGATTCTTGCATTGGCTAGATCATTAGCATGAGCAGACCATACCTCAACAAGTCATGAACAAGGACGTACGTATGAGCCATGTTTAGCAAGTTTAGTATCACCAAGTGTGATCGATCAATCCCGTGAAATGCCCGCGTGTTCTCGACCAAAGCCTCGATGGCTAGCTTGGCATACGATATCGTCCTGGTGTCCTGCTTGATTTTGACATCGTCTACGTCGGGGCCGATCCAGGTATCAACTGGTGGCGGCACCGGGTAGAGATTCGCAGGAACGGCCTCACTTTCGAGCACGACTCTGAGAAAGGGGATGTATAGAACGATTTGTGTTATCCAGTACATTGCACGAAGCCTTGCGGATGGTGCATCCTTCGTCGGAGGGTCGCCGTCTTTCCATCGCGAGCCTTGGGGCACCCATGTTTGTTTCGTATCTCTCGTATCCTTGAGTGCCCCTTGCAGCACCTTAATGGCGTCTTCTCGGCTCGTGAATTTGGTATGTTTGAATGAATCGTGTACGAGGGCCAGCTGTTTCCGAAGGTATAGCTGAGCTATGTAAGATTCTATGGCATGCCTGGGAACGCCTCGACTCGTGGCAAGTTTTAGGTTTGGATACGGCATCTGTGCTTCGTGCTGTCGGAGGCCTGACGGAGGCATAGGCAATGTAACGAGAATATCACTAAGAAGAGACCAAGGTTAATATCGAATGCAGTACGACGTATCAAGGAGCGCCTACCCCTCTAGTCCCAGACATATCCAAAAATCAAGGATGAGCTGGTTATCCTTGGTCGACTCCCCGGCATATGAACTACCTATTTGGTAGCGAAGTATTCGATCAAGTGTGCTGTTGCAGTCAGTATACTCGTCTTCAAATAAGCATGAGCAGCACCGGGCACAGACCATGGGACGATAGCTTGTATTCTCTGGCTTGCTAGAGAAATGTAGGACCAGCTCTCCGGAAGGCGCCCTAGACTAGCGTAGTAGAAACCGACCAGAAGATGGATAGAGACATGATTGCATACGTGCTGGCACTGACAGAAACGACTCATCTGGCCAGTGCCCATCGCAAGCGTAAAATAGTCCAAGTTGGACATCCCACCTTGGTTGGGCACCCCTGAATACGGATATGGACTCGCGCGCATAAGAACAGCACTTGGTAAAGAAGACCGTCGGCTTGCTCTTGCATGTGTGCCCCCGTTTCTGTCCTCTTCTGGCGAAGTCGGCGAGTTGGGTGACGGCCGAAAATGGTTACGAGATCGCGCTTTAGAGTCCTCAGCAGCGTCGGAAATCTCGTCTCGGCGAATACAGAGTTGACCAAGAGCTAGGACGAGTAAACAAAGAGCGTATTCTTCGGTCTGCAAGAGACGCCCGTGATTTGGAATTGGAGAATATCGTTCCGCCACGAATGATCGCTTTCTCTTTTGCCCCGCCGTTCGAGCCTCAAACGGGGAGGCAGCGCAAATTTCGGTGCGCAGAAATGCAGAGATCATGTCATCAAGCTCTATTGGGTCGATAAAGGGATAGACGTCGAGGACGTTGTGCTTGAAACTCTGTACGTATCTTTCTACCGTCTCTGGATTCCACCGAGGATTCTGTTTAGCATTCAGATTGCCCCCGTGCCAATCGTTGGAAGGTGGCGGCGTCAAAGTAGAAGCTTGGCTCCATCCGTCGATAGGGGAAGCAGCAACTGACGGTCGAATTGCTTCATCGGTGTCCCTCCCTGGTAGTACGCTCCCGTACCCGACCTGGGAGGACGAATCCTGCATCAATTTACGGACAGACCGCGATTCCAAGACCGCGTGAATGTTTTCCGGTATAGCTCCTCGGGTCTGCTCGACAGAAAGGGGTGCCTCGAAGTCAGGCTTTTCGTGTCGTGTTGGCAGCCCCTCTAGCGAGGCTGTAGCCACGTCTTTGGGGCATTGGTCTCTCACGGGAGGGGCCAATATTATTTTTTTCAGTTCTGCTTGAAAGGTCTCTGTTAACCTTGCCTCCAAAGACTTTATCGCATCGAGAATAGTCCTATCCTTTCTATACCCGTATTAGTTGCGAACCATTCTTGATTAGTTAAGACTTACGGCTTTTCTAGCAGATCTTGATAATGGCATTCCACCCCTCTGTCTTGACAATTCTCGCATGGTCGTCCCTCGTTGCATTTCGCTTTCAGCTCCCTGCAGCTATCGCAAGCCTGATATGTAAGGTCAGAACTCAAAAGCAACCGCCTCGTGCATACGACCTTACCTGGGAAGCCCGGTGCGCTCTCCGTTTGGCGGTTGCGACTGGGTACAAGGGAGCCCGAGGTCCATAGTCTTTCGGCGGCGCTCCATTGTTGGGAGCTATCGATACGGACCGATCCATTGGGAGTGGGAAACCACAGGGCCCGGAACTCGTCGCACTTGATGCAACATAGTAAGGGCTTTTGTAACTAGGGTCCTGATTTATGTATGACATATGATAGGGGTGAAAGGGTGACTGTTGAGATAGTGGCTGGTAGTCATTCATACGCCTGGGCTCATGCTGTCCAGCTTCCATTCTTAGAGAGTAGTTGCAAAAAGCGAACAAGATCTTTAGACGATTAGGGTACAATGATGTACTAGTTAGTTGGAGGTGTGTGGAGTGCGAAGACGCGTCAAAGAATGGCCGTAGTCACTTTTCTATGTGCCAGCGGAAGCCCTGTCGAATATATAGAAATCAGAGAAGAGACTCACAAGGACAAGATATTGTAATAATCATTTACTACGCCGGGTTCACTGGTCAGCAAGTTCCTCTCTTTGGTTTAGACTCATCCCAGCCCATGTCGAAGGCTTTCGGAGATACACTCGATACGGTTACTGCTTTGCCCAGGTTTTGATTTAAGAGAAGAGAACTCGGTCTGTCACTATGGGAGGGGGCAGGGCAATAGAACCTGTCCTGGCGGCACTGTGGCAGCCATGGTAAAAGTTCAATATGGACGGTAATGATGAAAATGGCCCAAGGTGTCGGCGAGCATGGAACGAAACTTCGCCATCATGGTGTGCTGGTAAGTTTCGTAACGCGGAAAGCAAGTACTCGGAGGAATTGGCTGTTGTTAATTTTCCTCATATTATTTCTAGGCAAGACAAACGTCTCAGTCGCTTCGGCACAAGAAAAGCGAATTTGCAGGACAAAGTAGATCTCAGCTATGTTAAATAATACAAAAAAGAGAACGAGAGAAGATAAAACTCTGACAACCACAGCAGTGACAGCGCAGGAGATTTAAATCAATGAATGTACGGACAAGGCTTTGTCCTGCAGAAACCCCCCGATTGTCCTGCCATCGATCCATCTCGCTTGTCATCAGGCTGTGATATACAATGCGGGAGTGGTAAGGTCCCCTTGCCGTTACACGCTGTCGGCTACCGAATCGCAAACCTGATGGTACTTCACCCGCATGAGTCTAAAAAACAAGTAGCACACGTGCTCCTCCGAAACCAAAAGTGTTCTTCACCGCCGAACCTCGGAGAGTAACTATGGGGACCTCCTTGAAGGTGATGGTGTTTCATAATATATTTTCGGCCGTGGACCTTCCATTCACTCCAGAAGACTCTTCAATAGAGTTAGAGGAGATACAAACAGCGCCACCACGACTGACGGTAAACCATCTCCTCACCAAGCGGAGAGCTCAGCATCACTTTAGCTAGAACTTCAATGCATAAGTGATCATATTCGATGGAATAGCTCCTCCCGTTTTAGACACCTTGAGACCTACAGCCTGGTTTGAAAGTTTAGTCATGAAGAAAGTGCAAAAAAAAAAAAAAAAAAAAAAAACGTAAGCTTGGATGCAATACCAGAGCAATGGTTGAGGAGCAGTTCCCGGCCAATTGAGATCTGGGGATACGGCAACGCCGGGGAAGATGACAGCGTATGATGAAAAGAGAGGTGGCAAGCGGCATAAAAGTGCATTTCTTCAGACCATCGGGGTGGCCAGACAGAGTTATATGTACAGAAACCGGAGCCAGCTTGCATTGGCCAATGGTCCGTAGCAGACGGCCCTCCAGAACTGTGATCTTGGCACATGATCAGGGTCCCTATCAGTCCTTCAGGATCGGTAGGTTCGGGTGATGCCCTAGGAGGAAGAATAAACCTAGAACTGCATGCTGTGACGCCGGAATAACAGAAGGGCTATACCTATGCCTACGAGTCTAGATATTAGACAGGGGATGCTATGTTGGTAAGAATCCTTGCATTATTGCATTCCTTCCTACGAAACGACGTGAAGGCCAATATAAAACACATGTAATCAGCCGTCTATAGTTAAATGTGGGCCCAAAAATAGTGCCAGATTAGTGATGTTCTATCGATATATGTGGTTCTTTCCATCCAAATCTAACTGCATTCGGGAGCCTCAATAATGGTGTCCGTTTTCAGTAATATAAGTCGTCTCTATGCTTTGAGCTTGTCCTCCTTTAATCACTACTCATCACAATGGTGCCTCCCGAAGCCCAACGAAAATTTGCATTCGACGGTACCGATCTCGAGTATATACGATATCTAGAGGAGCATGTAGCACGTTTACAACGCCAATTGTCCAACCAAACTTCTCCGGTCCAGCAGAATTGGCTACCAAGAAAGCCCCAGCCGCCTTCTGAATTCGTCCTTATCTCTAGTTCAAAGTTTGGAAATCAGCATCAAAATCACGATAAAAACAACAACCTAGACTTGTCGGTTCAGCTAGGCCCGCATGTCAACCGATTCCTGACCCCTATAGCAAATAACGATAAAGAATGGCTGGAGAAGAGAAAAAGGACCGGTATTAATACACCGTCACAATATCTCAGGATATTTCTCGGCCTTATTCGCACTTCGGATCTGACTACTTCGGTCGGTACAGGTCTCGGCCCAGGAACCCGCGCCAAGCCTATTGACATCATCCGCGACTATTGCACTTTTGCCAGTAGTCTCCAGCAAAATGCGGAGCAGGAGACGCAGGTGTCGAGATTGGCAACGTTGTTATTTTTAGGTATTTGTTGTGTAAGCTTGGAGGTTGGCGTAGATATGGACACTGTCGATAATTATATCAAGACCTTTTTGAGGAAGCCAAAAACTAGCTCGGTATACTGCTCCAGGCTGAGGAAGGCGTCAAAGTGGGCTGGTCAATTGATGGAGAAACTTGAAGAGGTGTTGGGGCGCCGAAGTTCTGAGCTCTTCCTACTTTGTGAGTATTTCCTAACCAAAGACTGAGACTCAACCACCCATTAATTAGACACGTGGACAGATGGACCGGATATTGCACTATATCAAAAATTATCCGAACACTCGGATAGCGCCGGTCATATTATCAAGAAGATGGAGGGAATGCCCGCAGCCTTGCGACAGGTAGCCGTCGATGAGCCAGGCATCTCCTTTGCGTTATCCTTCATGCTTGCCTACATGGGTTTCAAGTAGGTAGTAATGGACAGTACATTATAGTACCGCAACTGACCCTGGCAGACTCCAATCAGTCAACAGAGCCTTGGGCACCAATCTGTCACAGAAAGAGTACGACGCCAGATCTCGCGAGGTGCAGATCATGACAAGCCTCGACAACGTCAGCAATACGAGCGGCCTAAAACATCATGAGGCATCCGAGTCAGCATTGGCCACCACCTCAGACGCTCGAAAGCGCAGGCGAGTCTCAGAAGAAGTCACCCAGCCTTCTCCGAGTCCACAATGCCCGACACCGCCGAAAACCAGGACAGCCGAAATATCCATATCACCGTCAGCTCAAGTCATGCAGGGTGCAAGCAAAAATGACTACGGTGCCGGTATGATACAGCAGAGCGAGGGAGAGGTCAACCTAATGAGCATACTGCTAGAGGCTGCTCACCAAACAAATATTTCTGATTTCGAGTCGCAAGGTGTGCAAGGTGGTCAGCCCTGCTTGGACGACGACGTCGCTAGTCACGGTGGACAAGCAAGCTCAGAATCAAATGATGAAGGATGGATGGCTTTCATAGATTTCAATACTGGAGGGCTAGATGACGTCATGGTTCCTTCGCAATTCCACAGGCTCTCTTGAAGGCCGATAGATTATTGTGGTTGAACCGGAGTCCCGTCGCTCTCGTGGCCCAACTGCTGCCGCTCTCTGCACAACACCGAGATATACAGTAACTTCCCCTCCATCACTCGAATACACATGTTAGATTCAAGTATGTACAGCTGCGTCCTCCATTCTTCGGGTTCGCCAGGCTTAGCCGTCAGATGATGAAAATTAATCTTTGTGGGAAGCGAGGATGCTCCTATGATAGGTATCACAAGACCTGCTTTACCTTCTTTCGGCCGCAGACTACCCTCCTCAAGCAGGAGAGTATTCGCAAACCACTCCTGACATTGCGGCGCTAATAGTTTGATCTGAGCTTTCTTGGTCAGTTAGCAAGGTAAAAAGGGAAGAAGGCATAGACTTTACCGTTTCGTCAACAGCCTTCTGCGTGGCCTGTTCAACAATCGCGTTATGCTCGGAAGGCCAGTCAATGCGGGACACTTGCATTTTTGCCGGTCTGCCATCTTTCGATTTGAGCTCGACCTTTGTGATTGTGGCATCGTCAAGGCTCAATTGAGAGATCCTCGCCAACAGTTTGACAAGCTCTGGGGATGGGTTGACACGTTGCGCCATTGTAGGCTGAGAGCAGAGTTTGAATAAATGAGAGATTTGGGAATACTCCAGGTCGAAGGCTGTTTATATGTGGGAGAATGTCGACGGGTACGATGCAAGCCTTTAGAGGGGCTATTTTTGGTGGTGGGGGAGCGGCGAAGGGACCCACTTCCCGCCAAAGACGGCATGGAGCTAGCTGGGTAAGGGTAGATAAGTTGTTAGATACCAGGGTGCTCACGTCGTGGATAATGGTATTTCCGAAAGTAGATGGTCTGTGTTTATAAGTTATCCACTTATTACTCCCAGTCAGGCAGCTTGACAAGGACAAGAACGACAACAAGGTCAATTATCAACATCTATCAAATGCGTGTGTCAGACATAAGTAGACACCTGCCGAAAGTCAACAATAATGAAGTTTATCGGAACTATTTGTCATGATATTCCAGGAAACCTTTGATGCGTGCCAACCAATAAGCGTTCCCCACAAAAGCACACGTCTATTTTCATATTATTATACTATTGTCATACTATTGTACTGTCAGTACTATGCCTATGACGATGTATAATTGCTTCTCAAGCATAGTAGTTGCTAAGCCACCTACACCATATTGAATTCATTTCATGCTGCTCCATTGTAGATGTTCCTGCTATCGCAACCAATTACAAGCTCCCTTTGTGACCATCGTCAGTCATGACGTTGCCCATCTCCTCTGAACTGATATCATCCGACGTGTTATTTGGATCGTCTTGCTGCTCCTCTGGCTTGCCGTCGCCGTTGACCTGATTCTCGGAGTGTTCGTCTTTTTTCTCATCGTCTTGAGGCATCGTGACTATGAAGGTAGCCCAAGTCAGCATTGATCGCGCAGAAAGCTCGACAGCCTTACTTGGCAATTCTGGCAGCGCTCCCAACACTTCTTGTGAAAGTCTTGGTCTCTGTAGGCGATGACTAGACCAGTGATACTGTCAATCACAAGAGATAGAGTTGACTAGTTCAGATGAGCGAAGTATGGATAACTTATTGAGGACTGGTTGAGAAGCGGAAATGCCAAATCCAGAGGTGATTATAGAAGGTACTTATACTCCTTAAGCACCGCAGGAGCTACCGTTAGGAGCCCTCGCTATCCCTCTGACAACAATATTGCTTCCCATACTTTCCCCTACCAGATACCAGCGTAGGCATGTCCGTCGACCCGTCAGATCCTTGCCTAGAATAGCAACCGTTTGGTTCATAATGTCATTGCAACCAACTTAATCTAGACTTTAAATCTGCCACTACAGAATGACGAGCCGAACACAGACATCTGAATCAGGTCACCAAGTGCCATATTTTCAAGGTTAGCCTGCATATACCCCCTCCCTTTGTGATCTTCAGATACCTATGCTGTGTTGGCCGCAGCAAAGCCCAGGCAAGGTTCTAGCCAGCCTTCTACTTAGTCTTTGTACCTCTCTCAGCTTCTTCGACTCTACTCGGCGCAACTATTCCAACCTCACACTGCCCATAGCAAATGAATTTTAAGTCCGACTTCCACGGTATAATTACTGTATATCCTTTGTAGTCCTTCCCTACCCTGTCCTTATACTCATCCGTCTCGTTAACGTGTATGTATACGACTCCCGAGGTCTCGTGGACTTTGATAAGTATTGCTACGGTGTCGCGTGGTGGAATGATGGTGTCGAGATCATTATAGGTCTTCCAGCTGGGGTAGGAGCAAACGTTGCCTGTCTACGAGACTTTTAGTACATGGCATCATTGAATTCTTAGGTTACTGTACCTCTTTCTCGCATAGTTCGACTAGTTTGTCTTGTGAAGCGCGTTTGTTTCGAATCTTTCGCATTCAAATGGCGTGATCTAAACCGGTTAAGTATCTTTAGCTTCCAGACTTTTAATCTAAGCACGGTGATATTACCAATGATCAAAGGCGTTTGAGAAGCAGACATCTACTGAGAGACGATAGAACAGGAGCAGTCATAAAAATCCAGCGTTAAGGCGTCGAGTTTGGGCATCATCTGCTTGGGGTAGTAATAGGAAAACGTGAATGCTGCAAATGGGATGAGGGGTTTGGGTATGGACGGAAGTGGAAGTAGGTGATGGATGTGGGTGGGAGTGGCTGGGAGCGGTGGAAAATTCAACTAAGGATATGCAGCTGGTGCCAGCTGGCGTGAAGTGGAAATTTCCTTGTGCATTTACAACTCCAGCCGCCAATCGTGTCAGGTGTAAATTCATCAAAATCTGAGGGCGATAATGAAATGCCCCATCGCGACCTAGGAGATCCACAAAGAGCATATTACTCTTGGGTATGTCAACAACAGACCCAGGAAAGGAACAATTCAAAGTGAAGCTATAATTGTCAGACATCCAAGAGAGCTGTCCCACTCCGACCTAGCATGACCTACGTCAATACACAAATGTATCCTAGGGTATTCCGTTATCCTTTCACGACAATGGGCTGCAATATTCGGCCCTATAAGGGCTTCAACTCTACATGTCGTTGCCTGAGAAAGGAAGACACTTATACAACCCTGATTTTCCTTACCGGGAGGACTTTGAGTACCTTCCTTGTCATACGCCGTATGAAGACTGGCCGAGCAACTCGAGGTGACTTCGCCATAATACAAAGCTACTGGGGCCAGGTGACCTCGCCCATCCAATTTTTTGCTGCCTTGGAGCGGAAATTTGTCCAAACCCTGACCGGCATAGAGCGACTACGCGACATCATGGCGACGAGACCAACCGTAGCCGACAAGACTGGCGCTAAACCTCTAGTTTTCCGATCTGGTTTGATTGAATTCAAAGGCGTGGCGTTTCGCTACAACGACAACAGCGCAAAGAAGATACTGAAGGGCGTCAGCTTTTCTGTTCAGCCAGGCACTACGATCGGCATCGTCGGTGCGACCGGCTCAGGCAAGTCAACAATACTAAACCTTCTTAGCCGGTTTTACGACGTCACAGAGGGCTCCGTCTTAATTGATGGACAGGATATACGAGATGTCACTCTATCTAGGTATGGCCGAGTTCGTTTTGCATCCTCCGCATTTGTTTTTTCAACCCCCCCCCTCCTTCCCCGGGATGCTAAGCATCGACCGCTTCTTCGGTGGCACAGGTATTTCCAAACTGGTATGCTTGGTGTGCCTATTGTGAGACCGCAAAGCTGGAGAGATGGCTCTGAATGACTATTTTCGTGCCTGGCGTTGGACTTAGAATGTTGCTTGTAGTATTCCGCTTAACCAGCCATTCAATAAATCGACGGTAAATAACGGCTGCAAGAGCAGGCTTGCTGATGGACAGTGTTCCGGGTTCCCGCACATATGCTGATTCAAGAGTGCGAGTAGTACCACATTGACGGCAGTAGGCGTTTCTTGAAAAGTTGAAGTAACAGCAAAATTCATTTTCACATAGCCAGTCTCCAGAGAAAGATAAAGCGACCTCCGGTGCCAACGTTCCTATCGCGACCATCGTGATGTGGAATAGAGACCATAACTAGCGGGTCACGCCCAGGTTTTCGCGTCGCATTTTCTCGCGAGATGGTAGTTGCTTTTGCAGACGAACACTATAAGCAGACGGTTTGCCATCGGAGGTTGGAGTAACCACATGAAGGGCGTCTCCAATTATCACGGTAGGGGTGCTATTTTCTCTGAGGTGAAGACATATTAACGTCTTTTCGACCATTTCCGATATATATGCTACGAACGGATGATTTAGCCATTTCATCTGCTGGTAAAGGTGCTTAAAAACTATGCAGCAGAAGTTAGTGGCATCAAAACTGTAATAACTAAGAAACTGCTGCGGAAAGGTAATTATAAATCAAGTTAAATAAGTTGCATATCATTTAAGCATTGTAGAAGAGATGATATTGTTACGTTCCAAGCTGCGGGGTAGCACATATAATACAGAATTGGGGAACAGTGACCAGTTGGTCACTGGGAAGCTTTTGCTTTATGGCTCAATTGGTTGTCCCCAAACCAGTTTGTAACAGATATCAGTTAGATGAAACTGGTAGATCGCACTTGTAAACGCATCGCAAGTTACGTGCAGAGCGCATAACGCAATGACAGCAATGTAACCACTTCGAATCTAAAGGCGTGGCCTGCATATCTATCTACAGCATGCATGGTGCTTATCGTTCTACCCGGCTGGATAATTTTCGCATTGTGGATAGTTCTGAAGGGTTGAAGGCTCAGAATTTCAATTCACAGGCAAGGTAACGGGTTGCTCAGCTAGCCCTACGACGCTGGATGCTGTCACACAATAGTACAAGTTCTGTGACGATTAGTGAGAATTCAATCGGGTCAATTCATGATGTGTCCATGTGTCCCCCTCCTCTTCCCGGCCTTTCGCCAATCTCCCAACCTCCCGGTCTTGTTGTCTTTGTCTACCAGCCTGGCTAATGCTACACAAGGATATGTTACCAGTCCACAAGTGGTCCAGGGACTCTCCCTACCAGTAGAGGCGCATATGAGGCAGTTGCGCTGTGAGTTGGCTCCCTACAACTTCATCTGCGATTGCCACGACACTCTAAATCGAACGCTCATTAAGAGCGATGACGATGGTGTCGAGACCGCTTATGCTATCCGAGACTAAACGCAGTTATTTAACGGCCAGAAGCTGTTGAGCCTAAGTGTGATCGAATGCGTCGAGATCGAAGGCATGCAAGGTTTCGTGAAGATAACTAAGCTAATGCCGCCTATGTATGATATATAATACTGTGGATTACTACCAATATGGTTACAGCGTAATCAACCTGTTGCCGCCTACCATACCTTGAATACCTCGCTGCACATTCTCGAACCGAGTACAGCCGCATGACTCGCTCTCAAGGTGATTGATGATTCCGGCCAGCGTCGTGAAGTCCTTCCCACACCGCGGATTCGGGCAGTGGTACAGAGCCTCCTGATCTGCCGACGTCTCATCGTTAGCTTGTATTTTCTTTGCCGTAGGACGAAGGAAATAGAGGACTTACGTATCGGAGAGTTCAAATGCTGATTAAGACTTGATAACTGACCACATAGTCGATGGCAGAGATAACACTCCCAACCCTGACGATTCCAGTTATATGAACGATCATTAGCCTCATATTGCGTCGAGCCGTGCCAACCAATCAGGTTCTTGGTAACAATGCCGCTGGAATCCATGCTACGCACGAACTTGTACAGAGTGTCGCGGGTTAGGCCGCGAGCGTCCGGACACGAGCCAGTTTCTATGTGGTGCGTAAGGCCGGTGGCTGTGGTATGGTGACTCCTGCAAAAAGGACATTGGATCTGCTGGCCGCGGTGGGTTCGAGAGTTGAGATGCTGTTATGGGGAGGTCAGTCATACTAGATAGAGATGGGTAGGGAGAAGACTTACCATTTTGAGATTGTTATAGTTTGTGAAGGTCTTCCGGCATTCACTACAGTAATTATGGTCTTCGCGTTCGTGTTCGACCCGCCGGTGTTCTGTCGGCCAGGTCTCATCGCAGATTGCGCACTCCCACTCGAAATGGTTTAATGCTTCCATGTGCTGAAATCGCGCTCTTTCAGAGCCGAGGTATCACTTTTGAGCCAGACAGTAGGCACAAGGAATAGGATGGCCAGCGATATGGTTTCTACAAGCCCCCGGCCCTTGATGCCATGAAGCCAACCAGTTTGTTAAACTTCCGCAGGGTTCGTTCAAGGGTTGGCCGGACTCGTTTTATTAACAAGTGGCTTATCACGTCTGGCCGAGAAATAGAACAGAGAGATCCATGTTCAGTAAGCAGCACGGCCACGAACTGTCGTGACGAAAAGAGGGCACTCAGCTGGACTTCAGGTACCCCTGTAATGGGACCTTACCTGACCTCTATTGCAGCCAACGTAACATAATCATACGAAGATCGCTAGGCGACAGGTTACGGACTTGTGCAAAGGGTAAGTACCAACACCTTAATATCTCTTGCTATATTTACAAGATAGGCTAGCGTCAACTAAGGACGTACATCCTATCCCTATAGCCACCAACGCAGAAAACCTAGGGTCACAGGAAATGCAGATCACAGGGTGGGGGGCTCAATCTGCTGGCAGCTGTCTTAACGCTCATAAGTAGCTGCTGTCACACGGCGAAATCCAGGAGATCGACGAGAGCCTCACGGTCACTATACTAAGGGGTAATACGCGACGAGCCGGATCAAGAAGATCCAAAAGAGGTTACAGCAGCGCTTTTTATAGCTAATAACACCCGAGGTTAGGCGGGGGTACAATGGGATTACCTGACCCCTTTTTAAAAGTGAACTATTGCCGCACCTCGGGCGTATTACTCGCATATATTGCCGTGTAAACATAGCAAACCTGGGTGGTATCTGGATCTAGTCTAGTTCTGATACCTAAATAATCACACCTTGGTTGCCTACCGATTACGTTGCATCTGCTATCAATCCTGAAATAAGTTCCTAGCTTCTATGTGATATAAGAAGTAGCAGACAGCCACTGAGATCATCCACTCGGGCAGGACGCTGATACTCACCCGCTGGACCAGTCATATTTCTTATATGGGTGCAGCATATGCACTATGGCCAGCTGAACCTTCCTGTTCTCCGTCTTGGTTACTTGGTATATTAGTGAGAGTAGGCCTATATGTATGGCAAAGGGCCCACCGGCATGCTTCGTCAACGACAAGGGCGTTCCAATCTCGACAGATCTCAGCAGAACAACTAGCACTACGCATAATGGACAAGCTGATTCTTTCGTCTGAACCTACTCCAGAAGAAGTCACCCCAGAAGAAGCAAAAGAAGTCATGCATCGGCAACCAGTTGGAAGCTTTCTAAAAAGATGGAGGCTTGAAACAATAAATTCGCTCAACATGTGCGTCTTGTAACCCCCTTATGACCCTTAAATAACTGACCAAGTAGCCAACTGGCTCGTATTGGTCAACTAGATACCCATCTCGAAACAATGTGTACGATCAACAAGGACCACTGTGAAGCCAGCAGCTTCAACCAGGAGCTTCTTAAGATCGCCAAGTCCGGTCACCCAGAGAAACTAGCCAACGGCAGGCAAAAGATTCGGGCTGTCGATTTATTAATACAGACGACTTCGTTAAATCTAGAATCTGTCCGAGAAAACCTAACTCATCTAGCACAATCCAGCAGTGGCTGACCAGCCAGCCACCTTTCCGATCCACAGTTGCTCCTACACAAATGACGAGTTTTTTTTCCCACGAATTTCCCATCGCTCACACAGACGCGCTCCCATCATCGAACCTACCTACCTACCACAAGAATCATCAATCTTACATATCGCACACCCTCCTATACAAGCTAGCATGCCCAATAAGCTAAACGAGTCCCTGACTATAACAAACACCACCAATAGGCTGCCTTTGATGTCGGCTAGTTACTGGCCTGCGGAGTACCGCAAGCACCCCGAGTACAGTCTTGCGAGGGACATCACTGAGTAGACTCTCTTCCTCGAAGACCTAAAGGCAAGTCCTTATCGACGATCACCTCGTCCGAGACACTACTCGATGTAGAACTCCGAGCCGGGGACACAGACTCGATTCCTTCAGCATCTGATTCAAGTTGCTATTTTGCTTGACTACGACGATAACGACGATAACGACGAACACTACCTCACCGAATTGACGATCGACAAGCTGATGAATCGATGGAGAAATAATATAAAATAGTGGCAAGAAGAACAAGCTGACCGGGAGAGATGCCTTCATCAGCTTGCACGCTAGTATATACATTCCTGATTCGGAGACTGACATGAGCGGTTTGCTAGGGGAAGGCCGACAGCCCAGGGCCCACGGAGGAGCGTGGCGGGATACTTACGGCCTAGCCGGGCCAGCTTAGGCCACAGTTATGCTTTTTAGCAGATATAGGTACAGCTGGAAACCTGGTAATGGATATAGCAAGCGCAGAAAATGGTCCCGCGTTATCACCAAAGCGCGGAAATACCACACGCCATAACTGGCGGGCTACGTGTAGAAGGTAGCCGTAGTTATGACTTATCCCATGCATAAGAAATAATGCCGGAATCGTGCTAGACAGCTTTCATATGTTACACTACGCCTCCCTATGGCTTCGCTAGTAAGACATGCGCGGGTATTGGGATCTGTCTAGTGGCTCGCCGAACGAAACAGGGGACGTAGCCCAACCGTGTGGCGTAGAGGACCTTAGGATGATACATACTCTATGAGGGCATGTTTAGCCAGCTCTCTATGGTAACAGGCCCTATAGCCCCCACGCTGCAGTGAACATTCGTTGGATAATGTGTGTCAGGGATTGCTACAAATACGCCGGCACCGAATCTTGACTCGCCACGGCACGATGCTAATTCGTTTTGAACTGGTTCCAATAATTCTGTGGTTTTCCCACATAATTATCTCATCAAGGATACTCCCTGCTAAACGTTTTCGAATAGACTGCAAGAGTTCCAGCTGTCAGTTCTTCACAATGTCTTCGAATATCTTCCCTCATCAAGTCCCCATAAACGGGACTGTCCAGTTTATAGTTTCTCCTGGGAACCAGACGAACATGTACTACGTCCTAGTCTCTAATGGAAAGCAAATTCCATAAATTATCATTGTCATCAGGCGTCGTCATCGCTTGCGGCTCTTCCACCTCGAAGTCTAGCAAGAGACATTGAAGCCATTAGGTTGCACCGGCTCTCACAGGAATGGTCACACCACGAAGCTATGAGAATCTCCCTTTCACAGGTTTGAAGGGCGGAGGGGGTGTGGTAATGGAGTTGGAACTTGAATCATAATGTGTTAGATACTAAGGTACTCACATGGTGTATGATAGTCTGTGCCTATAAGTTGTCCACCTATTAATAACCTTTGGTTACATAATCCGAGATCAATAATAAACATCTATTAGATACGTGTGTCTGACAAAACCAGTCCAGGGCGACGAACTATAGCGTCGAAGCGACTTGAGACCCTTCTGGCCGACCGTGCCGGCCTGGACTTGAAGCTCAATGATTAGCATGTAGATTGTTCTATCACCATGTCTAGCAAAGCATCTAATGGAGGCCCACGGGGCCATGGCCCATACATAAGTTTCCTTAGTGCTGCATAGATCTCGATGTGCCATAGAGGATGACCGGCGTGTGGACGCTGCAGTCGGGGCGTCGGGCTGCCCAGATCAGATCCTAAAATCGGACCACTTCTCTCGCCGTGTCGCGCGCATAACACAATATAATGAACTGTATTATCGGCTATCGTACTTTCGAGATCATCTGTCTAAACATCCGCCATGCCCTCGCGCGCGCCGTTGAAGGATTACGTACTTCACCATCTATCCGAGTGTTGTCACTGCCTCCTTTGGGGTCTCACCCTATTGTCTACGCATCCACGTCTGGTTCAACAGTGGGACTGGCTTGACAGGGATGGTCAGCATCTTAACGGCTTGCTCCTCTTGTCTCGCGCCGGAACCTCTTTCCTAAAAGCGGTGCCCAACCTCATTATTTTTGACTTTGCTATCGCCCTAGGGGTGATACCCGCCTGCGTGTTGATCGGTGCAGTTCACTTTGTCTCTATGTTTATGCAACTGTTGCGTCTTCTCGTAGGCCTTGTACGTCCCCCCGCCGCAGGCCTCTCGCTGCCGAGCAGCTCCGGACGCCGCTAATGTAACTGATCGCAGCACGGCATTGCGTGAGCATATTCTCTTCGCCAGTGATGGTGTTCATATTTTCGTCGGGACGCGTCTTAATGCTACGCTACGGTCTCTCCGAAGTACCGCTGCGTGACGAATGTTGCGACGGGACCGGGGATGGACGATGGGGAAAAGGGGGGCGGGGTTCTATGGTATTGGGTGGGGGTGGAGTCGTTTACTAGCTGGAGAGCGGTTGTCGAGGTTAATCAAGGGGCGACATAATATACGCATATTGACTACGTGAATTTGGTTTGCCTTGTATAATCTGGAAGTGATCTGAGAAGGTTGCGTAGGGACGTATTTCCGCATTTCATCGTGAGTTCATTATACCAATGCCATCGTGCCATACGTGACAATTAGAGAGCTTCTTATTCGGGTTAGTACCCAAGCGCTGATTGGCCGAGTCTAGAATGCCCCGCTGTCGACGATTCCCCCTATTCTTATTATCAACATCGTCATCGTCATCGTCATCACCATCATCACGGACTGGTAACAGCATCGTCTGGAAAGGCGTAATCACGCCTATGTCTACTGCTGTCTTGTTAGTTTCGACAATAATGCTAACATCCGGGGATACCTACACCTGGCGTCCAACCCACCTACACAAGACGGCCGAAACGACCAACTTCGCGTTCGCAAATTGCTCCATAGACCTCTTGATTCGAGGCACCTCGCCCATGGGCATCGGATCTACTCTCCAATTCGCTTCGCAGGCCTTGGAGAAATTGGAATGGATATTCCTAATCCCCTTCCAACTCCACAGCGACGATCCCTCGGCCATCATGCTGAGGATTCGTAAGGTGTTCGGTATATTCTCCGCTATCTTGTCGCATAGGTCGTCTAACGCGAGCAGTCTATGGGAAAGCGAGGTGAGGGTAGCCTGCGTGATCTCTCTCGATGCGCATGCCGCGAAGACCAAGAAGAGTACCAGCTTCCGAGAGAAGATAATTCGCCCCCGCAACTGGAGGCTGGCGGTAAACTCGGACTTGGCCGCACCAAGCGCGTCAGAAGACGCGTTCCGAATCGGCGAAGCCAGTACCGCCTCGAGATGCTGCTGTACTATGTGCAGTGCCTTCGAGGTTTCCTGCGTCTTCGGCACGTCTAGTGTTTCCACTGCTCTCAGCGCTTCCAGCGCCTTCGCCACCCTGTCGCCTTCCAAAGCTTTCTCGCGCGCAGCTCTTCGATCTTGTGCCTCGTTAGCGATTTGTGAGGAGAGAATAGTAGCCACGGTCTGAAATGCCAACACCACGAGGAACATCCAAGGGTTTCCAAATACCCTATAGATCGTGAAGAGGGCCGTCGGTAGCTTCATCGCAGATTTCATAAATGCATCTAGTGATTTGGATTTTCTGCTGGTCTTCTTGTCTCTCGGGTCAAGATCGCATCGTAGCAGAACAGATACGCAGCTTTCCAGAGCTGGCGGCACGAAAGGCCCAAGAATCGCATGTAGCCAGTCATTGAATATACCCGACTGAAGATAGAAAGCGATCGTCCCGTCAGAGAAGGCGGGTAAGGTTTCCATAAGTATTGGGATTACGTTGGTGAGGAAGCACAGGGCAAGGATCGAGATGTAAAAGAGGTAGGGTCCAATAGCTCGAGCCCGAGCTGAACCCCGAGGTTCTAGAAGAGGCGAATGTTCGTCTGGTGCCGCCATTACAGTGGATCGCTCTCGAAAACAGCCAAGGTTGATCCTGTACACCTTTTTTTTGTTAGATGGCTTTATAAGAGGCACTGATTCCCTTAGCTCACCCCTCGGCCTGAGGATGGACTTATAAGTCGCTGCGTACATGCATTCCGACCACAGACGTAATACTAGTCCTGCCGTGCATGAGATGTATCACGGCTGGCATGCATCTCGTTAGGTACCTAGGTACCTAAGTTCCCAGGCCGTGACGGGTGGGTGGAATCGTAGCCATTCGCGTGTTGCGGGATGGAGACCCCCGGTGGAAAGCCCTAGCTGTGTCTTGCGCTGCAGGCTTGTCAACACCACGATCATCTTGCAGGGGGCCGCATGGGGTGTGGCAGAGCCAGGACAGTCTTAATTAAGGGAAGATTCGTAATATAAATTGCAATATGCATTTAAAGAGAAATACAGCTTACGCTTACAGTGCTCTACAGGGGTATGGGGGACGATAAGAGAGCCTTGTCACTATTGTCTTGGTGGAGAACGCGCTTGGGAGCTGCATCAACAATCCACCATGCGGCTCTTCAGACGTAGGGTACCATGCAATCATGGCATACATAGTGAAAGACTTAGATATAGATGAAATCTTCGACCTGTCGCTATGCTGCCGTCACTTTCAATACCTAGTGAGAGAGGAAAGCTTCTGCAAGGCTATTATTACCGTGAGTTGTCTCCGAAAGACCAACGTGCCCTGCGCGATACGCGACCTAAAACACGCGTCTACACCTACACTTACACCTACAACACTAACGATCCTTCATAGGCCAAAGCATACAGTAGAGGCAAGGGAAGCGGAGTGGAGTAGTAAATACTCACGTGCCCTTCGTCGGGTGGCGAAAAGGCATCAAGCACTCTCCCAAGCACCCCCGTATGTACTGGGCATTGTCGGTCTGGCCGATTCTTATCAGTATATCCACGGGGTACTGTGCTACATCGTTGAATCGCGACCCAGGAGATGGCTGCGTATCCTTGACCTCCACGGCTCGGCAGGGTGTGAACTTGCCATAGACATCCCAACCCTTATCCGCGAGGCCATACCAAGAGCAGTAAATACAAGTTTCGGGCCCTGTATCATGCAAATGGTATCACATCATGCCTGTTTTCCTTTGCGCTACCAGATACGGAAAATTGGCTCCTGATGTTTAAGGCCGAGGAACAGCGAATCGTAGCCAAGGTCCAGTTAGAATCTACGGCTAAGATATTCGTTCGAAATAATAAGGACTATCTATACTTTGGTACCCACTCAGAAGAGGGTGCAGACGGATTTAGGATGAACGACTCCTTCTGGTTTCCCCAGAAGATACATCTAACGGCCCTGGTTGGTTATGATATTGGTTCCACCGTCTGCTTCGAAATCATTGACGACTACTTCTACGGGTTGTCCAATCAGACGGACTTTGAGATCAGAGAAACAAACTGGACCTCCTATTACCATTGTTTTCGCTTTCCCCTCGACGATCCAGACCCTAAGATGACCCAGACTATGGAAAAAACTTATAGCTGGAGGAGGCAGCATGCCGAAGGCCCCATTGACGATAGGTGGGGTTTTCTCAAGTCAGAGAGAGACCAGACCTCTGGTAGACTACATATTATCGAGTCCCGCAAAGAATGGCTTAATGGGCAAAGCGGCAGTCGGCGGAGTTACTATATCACAAAGGTTGTCTTCGACCCAGAGTTAGAGGTGTCGGAAGAGGAGAATAGCGACACGGAGCCCTCAATCACCGACGGCAGCACCAGCGACAGCACCAACATCACCGTCTGTCTTCAATTTCCTCTTATAAATAGTAGAAAGATTAACTATATATCATTACTCCTCTTAATCCCACGAAGTAGCCTAGAAGTCAGTGATTCTATTCTCTTTTGCCCTCAATTACGAATCAAGCTTAAAAAGACGACGGATAAAAATACCATACTAAGCCCCGCAATCTAAAGTCAACTATAATATCTATTTGAACACGTAAATAAAAAAAAATACTCCTTGTTCACTCTTAAATCCATTCGGCTTCAAATTACGGACCGCGGCTTTAGTTAAGATGGCAAGTTAGAATCGCGCCCCTCAGTTGTTCCCCCCCCCCCCGGGGACCGACCTGTTACCACACCACCATCGATAATACCCGCCATAACCGTAGGCGCGCCTAATGCGGAACTTGACCGCGGCCTCATGGATCTAGATCGTTTCCTGTCGGCGCTGGTGAGGGGACGCTGAAGCTGTCTTCACCTGTCGGAGTCTGTGGGGCTCTCATCGAATTCGACCTAGAGTGAAAGGGACTTCTCGTCTTTATGAAATTGCGAGGGTGTTGGACAGCGAATTTCAAGTTGTTCAGACGACCACCCTTGAGCTTCCTGACGAATGCGAGCTCGTCTCTTACATTAGCAAGGGCCTCGGGGTAATCGTTGAATCTCTCTTCGTCTGATACCGCCAATCCAGGGATGTCGCGCTTCTTCTTCAGGAACTCCGGAATGCATCTGCTGATCAACTCGTCCGGAATCAGACGGATTGCCGCGCCAATTATAATGGAAATAACACCCAGGACAATTGCACACGCCCACTGAGGACCTGTCTGTGGAGGTTTCGTGGGAGAGATACTGAATGGAGTTCCACCAACGAAAATGATAAGGACTTGGGCACCGGACACGGCAAAGTTGATGATGATAAAGTACCAATTCTGTAACAGGCCTTCGAAGATGTTGAAGTGGTTATCCAAACGACGATTGCTGTCACCATGTTAGTATCGAGTATTCCGGAGTAACTAGGGGACATTTGTACTTACTTCCACTGGTTGAAGATCTGCATCCACACGAAGGTGTTGAAAACTAGGGTGTTGCGCTGATCGTTGTTCGTGGCTATGCCAGTAGAGCCTGCAGCATAGTAGAGAATAAATGTGACTGCCAACTGATAAATCGCCTGCCCTATGATCATCTTCCACATCGTTATCGAAATAATACTGGCACCTCTCCGTTCCGGCTTGCGGTCCAAACAGCCATCTTGAGGAGGGTCCGTGGCGAGAGCGAGGGCCGCAAGAGTATCCATGATCAGGTTAACCCACAGAAGCTGAACAGCTGTCAGTACAGAGCCTTCATCACTGCTAGAGACTGCCGTGACGAAGGTCAAGACGATGGCTGTGACGTTGACCGTAAGCTGAAACTGCAGGAATCGTTTGACGGCATCGTTAACAGCTCGGCCCCATTTTAGGGCCTTCACGATGCTGGTGAAGTTGTCATCCATAAGAATGATCGCGGATGCCTCCTTTGCTACTTCAGTACCAGTAATGCCCATGGAAAACCCCACGTCTGCGAGCTTCAGAGCAGGCGCGTCATTTGTACCGTCGCCCGTAACCGCAACGGTCTCACCCATATCTTTGAGACGACGCACGAGAATACGCTTATCTTCGGGACTAGAGCGTGCCAACACGCGAAGGCGCGGGATAATTTCGTTCTGCTGGAACTTGCTAAGATTCCGAAATTCCGGTCCTTCCATAATTAAGCCTTCTCTATCCAGTATGCCGCACTCTCTCGCGATGGCCTGGGCCGTGAGTTTGTTGTCGCCAGTAACCATGCGAACAACAACACCAGCTCTCCGACACCGCTTGACCGCCCCCGGGACTCCTTCGCGGAGGGGGTCTTGGATGCCAACCATACCAACGAAGGTCATGTTGTTGAAGATGTCCTCGAAAATAACTTCGTTCTGATCGCCTTCGGCACGCTTAGCGTTCCGCGGGGGCCATCTTTCAAAGTCACGATAGATGATTCCGATAGTTCTCAAGGACCTAGATGCGTAGTTTTCGATAAGGTCTTTGACGGCCTCCTTGTCGTCAATTGTGAGAGGCGCGCTTGACGAGTCTCGGGTAGGATCGCGGATGATTGATGAGCATTTCCTAAGCATAATTTCCGATGCTCCCTTCACGTACAAGCGAGCTGCGCCGTTCTCCAGCTGGACCACGATACCCATACATTTTCGGCCGGAATCGAAAGGAACGAGCTGTAGCGTTTTCACATTTGATCGCTCTTCGCTCACTGGTCCCATTCCGAGATAAGCCTTGGCATATTCCAGCAACGCGGTCTCCGTCTTTGATCCAATAAAAGTCATATGCGAGCACGTGATTGAAAGGCCGTGCTCCCAGGTCACGAGATATTACGCAAGGAAAACATTGCCTAGGTACAGATTACACCGCCCACACGCGCTTTCCTTCTTCTCGACACCACGAATTCCCTAGCCACGACGGCGCAATTACGACCGAGTCTTTAAAGAAGTGCCCCTTTTCATCGACCGCCTCCGCTCCCTCCAATTCCACCACCATGACCAACACACTGTACCGATAGCAAGCACGACAGCGGCTACGCTTGCGATCCATACCTCGCTGCGAATCTGAATACTCGAGCTATGATTTTCTGCCACATCGACCTCCGTCCCATACCAGACGAGCGTACTACTAAAGAATGACTATGATTAGGAGTATAAGGGGTTAGTCGGATGGCAGAGCAACACGGTCGTCCGGAGTTGAGAAGACAGAAACACGGATACAAGTGCACGCACCATGACTAGATTCAGTGGAAGATAGAACACAGCAATAGCCGTCGCGATACGCATTGATCGTGAATCCCTGTATGTGAGGTCGGCCAAGACTGCCATGTCTCTATTCTCATTGGCATCGGCCTGCGCTAGTTGTGCAAGCTTTAGACTGGTATCGTGCTGTAGCTCTTGACCATAGAATGTGAGGATGTTGCTATACTACACGAGGGTTAGGCACAACATTGAACTTGAACTTGAGCTTGAAGAGTTTCTATGCTTTAGATATAACTAGCATCACGTAATTGGACATAGTATTCAGTGTCATTAGGATAGCTACTTAAGTAACTTTATGAAGAACGATTTAAGGCAAGATAAACAATCGGAAAAAGACTTCGTAAAACGAGTATACACAATAAAAAAAACGTCTAGGCCAGCTTAGACGTACATAACAGACATACTATTGCGTTATCACCCATCCAATGTCCTCTCTAGATAGTTTTTAGGCCATGAGCTATATATGGACCGGCCACTGGCGGAGCAAGTCAGCAATCATTCTTCCACCGACTTCTTACCTTCGTTAATTGGTCGCATCCGGGTCGGGAGACGGAGACCTGTCGTATCCTCCGGTTCGCCCCGCTCGAATGTATTCTTGATACTTTTTGTCGAATCGAATAGCTGCTCTAATAATAATGAGGTCTGCCTGCATTATTTTCTTGTCCTTCGATATGATGACCTTATCTCCTACCATGATGTCTTCTTGGAGCTTTAAAGAGCCCTTACGGAACCGCCTCATAGCAGTCTTGGTCACCCAGCAGTTAGTATTTTTAGTAACACCGTCTTCTTCAATGCACACCTTAACCTTGATTAAGGTGATGCCCCTTGGTTTCTGGAGTAGTTCGAACTTGTTTTCCTCATCGGAATAATGCCAAGCCACGCCCTGGATTCCTACCAGGCCGCCCTGCCCCAATACCCAATCACCGTCCTCTTTCTTCAACTCATCCATCTTGGAGGCTCTGAGGTTCTTTGTACTGTCTCCTGTGATGGATGTGATGACCTCATTAGCTTTTCTGATTCGGAAGTTTCCGAGGCTGGACGGCCCGAGCTGGCAGACAATATATGGGCGCCCGAAGCTACCCTTAGCCCACCCTATCGGCGTTTCATCGCGTTTGCCATTGCCCTGGGTGTCTTTGTCTGGATCTTCCATAAGGTCATCGAGAGTCAGTGTTTCACACTCGTCGCCTTCGTCCCTCTTGTTCAAAGAAACAAAAAGGCCTTCGTTGAGAATGTCGCCTTGCCCAGGATCACTAGGTGTTGTATCCGTGCTAACCACCTCGTTCTCCTGAACAGGCGTTAGAGTAGATCTCTCTGGCTCATCTAAATCCATTAGATCGCTTTGAATTTGCTGGATTTGTGATTCAAGATTGGCTTTAACTTCCTCGTTCGCTTTTTTAGGTAGTTTTTCTAGTTTTGAGCGTACGTCAGCAAGTTCCTTTTCTAGCTTCTTCTTTTCTCGTTGCATTGCCGTCAGTTGTCGTGTCAACTGGGGATTCTCTTGATTCTTTTTTTGACTCGAACGTCGCGTAACTTTAGCTGGTTTAGCTGCGGCCATCTTAAATTATAATGATAATAATAACTTTATGGCTTTGATTCAAGTTTGCAGAAGTGTAGTGCAGCACTTGGCATATTTATACTCAAGGAATTAACGGCGATTTAGACCTAAAAGTAGACCCTTGACCTAGAAAAGGGAAGAATTAACGGGAATAATTCTTGTCTTCCGTCTTCCATGATCTTTTAGTAGTCCTACATGTCCGAGAATTGGTTCAAGCCATAACGTCGCAAACTCGTGCTTGCGATATGAAGCTTCATAACTTAAGACCGATCGAAACGCTTGGCGAGCTACGATAAATTATTCAGCATAAATCGTCGAAGCAAGTGCATACTTAGGAGATAAGGGCAAGGTATAGCATAGTCTCTCAATTGTTTCTCTAAATATAAGTACATAGATTGCATAGCTAGATACAGACCTCATAGCCGTCACACCCTACACTTTTACACTATGATACCATAACTAGGTCGTCTCTGGTAGCCTTTTATTAGGCCCTGATATAGGCCTTGTTTTGGCATTATCGAGAACCCATGTTTAAGTCCTTCAGCCCGAGCCCATTTTATCGCCAGTGCTGACACGGCGGCGATATATAGGACGACATCTGGGCCGTCATCTGGGCCGTATCTGAAGGGCAGGATACGGGTCTAGGACCCACCAATCTTTGTCTCCCCTGAACTCCTCGCGGTGTAATTTTACATACATAAATGAGTTACAATCAACATAATAAGATGGGAAGATGGATGTTTAGCGAAACACTGCATTTATATGCACTAGATTTTGTACCTAGCTACCTAGGTATGTATGCCATGCAATCACAGGAAAATTACTCCAACGACGACTGGGCCAACGGTAAGCAAGTTCAGCAATGCATGAGCATTATTCCATTCCAGCACTAAAAAAATAACCCTCTTTTCTTTCGTAGAGACAGATTCAGATAAGGCCTCATATAGCAGCGATAGCCTACGAGAGTTGGTTGTGCCAGATGCAGGCTCAGACTCGGGCTCGAATAGCGACTATGAACCGGGTCGTGGCGACATGGATAGCCAACGGAGTAGAAGTGGGGATGTTGACAAGCAGGACCAGATCTCCGGAGAAGACGACTCTCGCGGACAACCTGATGGATTCATGCAAGTAACCGCAGCGTTATCTGAGCTTCAGCAGTGCGTAGCGTTCCTACGACACTCGATGGAGTTGTTACGAAAAAGCCTTCATCGTTTTAGCGATAAATTGACCGCCGGGGCCTTCCCGTCCCTGACTATCCGTGACGGAACTCCAGCTTATCTGTAGGAGACTAGCTTCCGGAACACGAAAATTATTCAGGCCACCCCCGCCAAAGAGGAACCTAGAGCCTATCTTGGAAAAGCCACCCGTCACGGTGTTGTAGTTAGTCCCAACGCCATTTTCTCGTCCCTCAGCCTATATTCCATTTAATGCTATCCTCAGTGGGATGAGGCCTATAGCGGCTGCTTTGGTTTATAGTGTGGTTACATTTCAGAATTAACGGCCACGAATATAGCGCACATTTAGGTAGTAATACAGTCGTGTCATAGAGGGAATGGTTTAGCCCTTGCTCGCAGGATGCTAGATACCACCATACTCATATCCATATTGGGCATACTTCTATGTTTACTAGCTTTACCGCGGTTTGCGCCTGCCGACTAGGGGAAGAGGTTACGGCGGTCGCCGCCCTGATTTGGTCCATAATTTATCCATCCAGATGGCAGAACCGAAGTAGTGAGGGAATAAAGGAGAAATAGAAAGGCCCCCTTGCCTTCTTCTCGAATTTTTGTCATGCTCTACAGCCACTCAAGCTTTGATTACCTTTACCACTGCTAGCTTTCTACAATGACACAAACAGTCCTAGACTTCCTCCTCTCCCAGGGGGGTCACCAAATCGATGCCAGTCGCCTGAATGCAGGCCAAAATACTGAACAAGCCAACAATCCCATTGAAATCGAAACGATTGTGAGGTGGACGGAATTTACCTACGAAAACATGCTCAATATGTTCAAAGAGGAACTTGGGTCAGAATACCGCGGTCCAGCAGTACCCGCACCCCTAGGAAAAGATCTTATAGTCTGGAATGAGGAAGGCGTGCAGGACTCTCTACAGAGAACTGTGGGCATACCTGTCAACTACGCGCTGGCTCAACTAAGCGGGGCGCCTCACTACGGCCGCGGGACCCGATGTGGCTTGCGACAAATGAAGGATTGCAAGATCCTCCTTGGTTAAGGTTTGAGAGCCATAGCTCGCTAGGAAAGTCCTGATAGTGTTTTGAGATCCATCAATGTCACCTTGCAGGCGTAGTGCGACGCTTTTACGATAAACAAGCTCGCCCTGAATAGTCGGAATTTGGATATCGCTAAGCAGGTTCTCTGCCGGTTGAAGAATTCGTAGCTGGCTGTCTCTGGGGGCAACTTTCGATGCTGCTATTAGGTCCGTCGGGTACGTCTCGTTCCGCTCTCGCTGCTGAGTCCTCCCGAAGAGCGCCCCCTAGATCCTCGGCGGAGATCTATCCTTGGCACGAACGGGATGTGATTCCATTTGTTGATGTTGATCGTAATAAGTAGGATTTGACATTTTGCTCGTAGAGAAGCAGGTTGTATGTTTGATGCAGCTGTTGGCAAGTGCTCGAAAGGGCTGCGATGTCCCCGGGTTCGCACTGACCTGCGATTATATGGTGGATCTCTGAAGGAAGCTTAAGCATTATGAAGTTATTTTCGACAACACGGGTAGATAAATATTTGTTAGAAGGCATAGGTCAGTGTTGACGGCGAGATAGTGAAGGAAGGATAGGTACTGGGGGGGATGCTGGGGTTTCCGTGGACTGGTGGTAGGCAGTAAGTCCATCTTTATATACTTCTCTACTTTTTAAGACTAGGGGTAGTTAGGGAAAATAATGTTACTTAATAAAGATTATACTGGGACGCCTTTCAAAACTGTTGACAAACATACCCTGGTCCCTTAAGAAACGCCTTGCCCTACCTATTCTTCGACCTTTTTCATGATAAGTGGCTAGAACGGAAAACGTTTACGGGCTTCTACAATAACAGACAGGACAAGGTCGTTTTGTATATACCTCTGCTGTCTCATGAAAGCTTCATTTAATTCGCTCCCATTTTCCTCGTATTGCTCACTCTTCCCTTGCTCGCTTCTGCTTTCCTCATCCGCCATACTAATCCCTCTACATTCAGAGAAGCATAGCTAGAACCTACCGTCAGCCCCAACCTCAATGGATCAAACCGCTTATCATCATGAAGTCTGTAATCCATGAACGAGGCGAAGTTGGTCCATATTTTCACGCGTTACCTCATTTGTATCATGTCGATGTAATCGACCGTGTTGATGAGTATTGTCTGTAAGGCAGTAACGGATGCTTTCTCGGTAGCATGTGCCGGGCGTCGCCTCTCGCGGCACATATTACGGTAATTCGTGGTAGCCTTATTCCCCTCGATCCTATATCAGTTGAGGCTTGTCCCTCTTCTCACCCTTGCTAACCTAAATTTGTTGCTTCTCATTCAATCAAATCCATATAACGGGTATAGGCCAGGCTGACGAGAGCTGATTCTATGGTCTTCAGTCCACCTGGTTAGTATCGAACCAGGATCGCCTCCTACTTAACTGGTCACAAGGCGAACTTCGGAACTGCCGAATCTGTTCCTGATGCTTTCTAATATCAGCCGTGAACAATGAATCATTTCCGGGCTCAAGCTTAAAAATAAGATACTTCTTCGTCCTTCCGAAGATGAACTATTTTCAATGGTGTTGGTCCTGGTCCTGGCTTAGTACCAACTCGGCGTGGCTAAAAAAAAACATATCCCACATCTGGTCCCCTTGTAAATATACACGGGTAGCACTTGGACAAGATAGCTGTTGCTACTAATATATTAATTAACAGCTGTAATATCATTCAAGGGGCTGCTGGAAGATTGCGTGAGAAAGCCCTAGAAAGCGAGCGCCTATTTGAATTTTAAAGGTTACTAGGACTTGGAGGCCGCAAACGGACGATGGTGGCCTGTGTATTCCTTAGCGTATGCCCCTTATTCTTATTGCTGGGTGCGGCCATCCCTTGCTCGGTATCGCATTGCTACCATTACTAGATCTTCACTAGATCTTCAGCATAGCTCCCCTCACATCCTATTATAATGTTCAATTATAAACCGAAATAAATAATTCTCCCGTTTACCCAATATGGTCATTAGCGGAATTCACGGAACAAGCTATCTGGTTATAGATGAAAGCTACGAAAGCTTGGAGTTCTTTAGAAGATGTTGGTGGAAGCATAATATACAGAACGTAAGTCACTTTCCCCCTGTGAAGGATCACCGCATTGACTCACTGCAATTAAAGACACTGCATGGGATAGAGATGCAACCGCACCTTCATCGAAAGGTCCCAGCCGAAGAGATCGAGCTAGCTGCCGAGAGCGACCTGAGCGAGAGTGACGAAGGCTTTGTCAAATTTGACTGGAAACCTGTCGATAATCACGAGCCCAAGCATCGAACCACGTCAGACCAGCTGTCGTATAAATCTAGCTATAGCAGCTATGCAATAGAATCTGAAAAATCTTGCTGCGACATTTCGGGGCGTATGGGCCAGAACGGCATGGATTTTAACAGCGATGATGAGAAACAGCGTCGGCGCCTGAAGGTTGATGCAAGAAGGAAACGTGCGGCCGCGTGTCTAGCTTCGATTGTTATATCTATTCGATCGGACGGCAAGGACGAGAACAAAAGGGATGTGGCAAAATCCACGACCTCGGGCGTCTAGTTTCACGGCTAGGTCTGACACATGAAGGCATCTTGGAGCTGTCGGACACTAGGCTTATGATTAACGAAGTTGCGACCAACTCCTTGATGTATATACCTCGATCATATGCACAATAAGAGTCGAGTATTTGGCAGGAAACTCTCTTGTAATGTCGTTGCTACTTTCTAGAGTAAGGGTCGAGTAGTTGTCAAAAATCACCTGGAACACGTGAGCCAGTAGTTGATAGATGTGCAGACGTACTATAAATCATGACTGCGTCACGGCATCTAGCACAAGGAATTGACTGGATCTAGAATATCCTTGGTTGATCCTTTCGGGACACGTGTGCCGTGTTGTAGTAACAAGATGACGACCCCCAAAACCAGATGTAGGTGATAAGGCTTCATCCAAGGCTGTCATGCCTCCGCAGTCTCTCCTTTCAACATCTATACACCTTTTCTCGAGGAACAGTCTCACCTCTTATTCTAGGTGTGAAATTACGCAATATCAGGTTCCTTCACGAATAATGCAGCAGATAAAAACAAAATACAAGCGCTCTCGCCACTATATCGTCTATAACTAGTAAACTAAACCTTTTACCACTGGTTCCGCGAGGTGTAGCGATCCCCTGGCGAGCAA